TTTGCTGGACTGGAGGCTTATGCTGGATTTTGCCACTGAATCCACATCAGACAGACCATATTTTGTAGGCTTTTTCTCTCAGCATGTTGCTGATAGCTTTTTTGATCAGCCTTGAAGTCAGGAGATCGTAGTATGTAGAACCAATTTGAAATTGTGCCACTTTATTATAAAACATTGTCCTCTCTGATTGGTTCCCTGTGATATTTTCTTGAACAGCTAAACATGTTGCCTGGCAAATGATATTTTTTCCATGCTCTGTGTTTACTGTTCTAGATCTAAACAACTGGTTGTAAGTAACCCAGAGCACTCTTGAGTCTATATAACAGCCCTGCATTTCAGCCTCTGTTCATCCTATCGCCCACTTCCCTCCGTGTGGACTTTTCTGTTGGGCTGATATGATGTTAAAGATCTTGGGAAATGCATAAGCCCGTAAACCTCAATGGAAATTGCAGTAGAAGAACATGAGCGCAGTTCTGGACAGCAATTATTTTTAGAGGCAGGGGGTGGAGAGCCAAGCTTTCTTCCCCCTACTTCCTTTTCCAAATGTTGTGGCTTGCTGTCAAGGCTAGCTGCAGTGGAGGGGTAAGTGGTACAGCAGGAAGACTGGGGCAGTGGGATAAAGAGCAGACTGTAAAGAGTGCGAGAAGAGCAATGTGATGTCGAGTATTCTGGGTTGCTCTGATGTTTTGCGTCCTCCATGGCTGCTTGTGAAGGGGGTGGTGGCATTAAATAAAGTGTGTAGCCGGCTCCAAAGAACCTCAATAGTATCTCTGAGGTGGAATTCAGCTATGAGTTATAAGCTGAAAACTTTTTACTAAACAAATTCTGTATTGTAGGGATTGAAACCAGACACAGAGTTTAAAGAAGACGAAGAGTACAAGCGTGTTGATTTTAGTAAAGTTCCAAAGTTGAAGACAGTTTTTCAGAAAGAAAATGGTAAGCTTTGAAAATGTAATTGCTTATTTTTCTGCATGGTAATACTTTCCTCAAAAGCTACTTGATTTGCATTGCTTTTAATTCAAAATTGCTTGTAGGTTTTTTGACAACACATGGTACTTTAGGGTAACACTGGCACTGTTGGTGCTAACTTGTCCTGTACTGCCCTGGAAAATGCTTTGTATACTGATGACTGGAATTAATATTACAGAGGAGGAGTGTAAATTCATGCTTTTTCCCTAAAGTTAGTTAACTCTTTCAGGCACAGTAACGGCTGCCAATGCCAGTACCCTCAATGACGGAGCAGCTGCTTTGGTGCTGATGACTTCAGAAGCAGCCAAGAGGCTAAATGTTAAACCATTGGCTAGGATAGCAGGTAGGAATCTTTGAAATACCAGTTTTCAGTAAAATTCTGGGAAACCCTTTGGCTCTAGCTATAGACAGCAGAGTGGCCTGGTTTCATTTTACTCTTAATTTAAACGTTAAGCTGGAAGGACAGAAAGATGCCACCATATGACTAGAAACGTTCCAAATACAAGTTTTAAAAAAATACTGGGGACTGTTGATCATCTAGCATAAGAGAAGCCATGTTGGATCAGGCCATTGGCCCATCCAGTCCAACACTTTGTGTCACACAGTGGCCAGAACCCAGGTGCCATTTCTCTAAAATGCATCAGTTATAATCTTACTAAAGAATGATCTGCAACGTGGTGCCAGAAGGACCGTAAATGTGTCTAGGTCAGGATCATTGTGGAAACAAAGCTCTGAGGCATCATATTTTAAATGACGACCATGGATCTAGCTCAAATACAGCTACCAAACATTGCCTTTCTGACTAGCATTTATGATCTTGTAGCTTTTGCAGATGCTGCTGTTGATCCTATCGACTTCCCCATCGCCCCGGCACATGCTGTTCCCAAGGTAGGAACAAAAAGTTTTAACTCCTGTATTGCTTCCACTTCACATTCCTGGGATCCCAGATCACCGCAGACTGTGACAGCAGCCATGAAATTAAAAGATGCCTGCTCCTTGGGAGGAAAGCGATGGCGAACCTAAACAGCATGATAAAAAGTAGAGACATCTCCCTGCCAACAAAAGTCCGCATGGTCAAAGCAATGGTATTCCCAGTAGTCATGTATGGCTGCGAGAGTTGGACTATAAGGAAGGCCAAGTGCCGAAGAATAGATTCTTTTGAACTATGGTGCTGGAGAAGACTCTTGAGAGTCCCTTGGACTGCAAGAAGATCAAATCAGTCAATCCTAAAAGAAATCAACCCTGACTGTTCCCTGGAAGGCCAGATAATGAAACTGAAGCTCAAATACTTTGGCCACCAAATGAGAAGGGAGCACTCACTGGAGAAGACCCTGATGCTGGGAAAGATTGAAGGTCAAAGAAGACCGGGACGGCAAAGGATGAGATGGTTAGACAGTGTCATAGATGCAACGAACATGAAATTGAGCCAACATCAGAGGACGGCGGAAGACAGGAGGGCCTGGCGTGACCTGGTCCATGGGGTCACGAAGAGTCGGATTCGACTGTGCAACTGAACAACACCGCCACCACCACCACCAAATTGCTTCCACATTAAAAAAGCTGTCTTTAAGCAGTACTGTCAATATATGTCATCTCTCTCATCATAGTAATAAAAACCCCCTCCATACTTTGAATACTTTAGGGTGCCTTGTAAGTTGTCATTCCATCAAACAACAGTTCTTCCAGCAGAATGCCCCTCCTGTTTGCAGAGGAGGAGACAGCAACCTTTGCTGGATCATTGTTTTGCTTTCACTTAATTTTTGTGTGCGCGCGTGTGCCGGGGAATTTGCCTCCTACTGTAGGAGGCAGGGAATTTACCTTCCTCCAGTGTAATGAAGTGTGCATGCACTGACAAAAGCTCATGCCCTGAATAAAACTTTGTTGGTCTTAAAGGTGCCACTGGACTCTGACTTTGTTCTGTTGCTTCAGACCAACACAGCTGCCCACCTTGATCTATCAGTTTGCACTATTTAGGATTCAAGTCTATAATATACATGTATTTTATAATGTCTGAATTTCTGATTAAGATTGGCTCAGAGACTGAATTTCTCATAAGTTTCTTTGACACAAAACCAATGTATAAACTTCTTTTAGCAAGTTCCAATTCCCCTATGAATGTTTTCACTATATTTTTTGTCATTATACTTGGGTAAGGGTGGAATATAGGAACCAGTCTTATTAGAATTGAAATAAACAACATCTTTTTCAATAGAACTTAAGTTTTCAGGCATAAGTGACTAGTCTGTGATCTTTAAATGATATCATTTAATGGTATTAGGTCCTTTTAGTATTGTCTCTGTAGAAAGTTTTGAGTACATTAGTGGTAGTTACTCCAGTTCCTTTATTGCTTGAAACCTACATTAAGCCTGCTAATCCCAGGAGAGCTGGAGAAATCCCAACTAATGCCAGTTGATTGATATTTAATTATGTCAAATCCCTCTCAGCTCAATCCTAAATCCTGGATGTTGACACCAGTACAGCCTGTTTAGCTAGTTGGTATCCTGTACAATCTCAGCAGAGAAAATAGATGGCAAAAAGACACAACTCCAAGGAGCTATTGGGGGACATAGTGTAGTCACTGGACTAATACTCATCCCTTGAGGGGAACTGGTTGGGTCTTCATCTAGTTTGTTTGGGTTTCTTTGTGCAGGTTGAAAGGTATCTTGGGTGTTTGTCCAGCAATAACAGTGGTTGATAGTTAAAAGAGAAATGTGGTTCTGCTCTGTGTTTTCCTCACTTGCATGTGGGGGTCACACCAGCATTTTGATGATCAGTTAGCATACCTCTGAGGTGGCAGAACTTGTAATCTGTTAGAATGTTTGGCAGTTTATGCATTCTTGCCAGTCAGTGTGTGTGAGAGAGAGGTGTGCATGACATGAGGTAAGACAGGGAGCACCATGCTGCACACTCCGTATGGGTATCCTGGTCAGAGGTTATGTAATGCTTAGGTGCACTGTGATTGGCTACAGTCTTAGTTGGTGTCCTAAAGTACATGGTAGGTGTGGTGAGAGACCGACCAAGGGACTTTTTCACTCGCGTTGAATCTTGATACTGAAAACAGTGTTTTCATTGGCCTAACTTTATGCCAGGGGTGAGGGGCTTGACAATCCAAACTAAGCTCTACTCCTCCCCATCCTGCCCCAGTGCTTCTCATTTCTGCCACCTACCCCGCTGCTATGCACGTGGGGTTTAGTTGTTACCCAGCCCCTAAGGACTGTACTCTCCAAGTATCAGTTAATATGTTTTAATTAGTGGAGGAAAGTAGAAATACGGGTTTGGTAGCACTGCATCGTCTATAGAAATATTTCTTGTACCCTGATCATTGTGGCTGTTCAAAATTCGTTGTGATTTTAATTGAAATAGAAATTGGTTGACATTCAGTTTGTAATAAGGGAATTGAATGTTTTTGAAAAAGGGAAACTGGAGTATTTGATTGGGATGTATGATCTGAGCTGGACAGAGGTGCCTGACCAAAATCTTTGGATGCTTCTGTGATGATTTAATGTCTATGTCATTTTACTTGTAACAAAACACTGCTAAAATCGGTCCTTTAGTAGCACTTCAAATGTCTGCTGAACAAATGGCTCAAACTGCAGTGTTTCTTTTTCAGATACTGAGTCAGGCAGGACTCAAAAAAGAAGATATTGCAATGTGGGAAATCAATGAAGCATTCAGCGTTGTTGTCCTAGCCAATATCAAGATGCTGGGCATTGATCCGGAGAAGGTGAACATTCACGGAGGAGCAGTCTCTTTAGGACATCCAATTGGGTATGTGATGCATGGTTTGTATCTACAGCAGGGGGAATCTCAGGCACTGTCTGGAACCTGCTGATCCCACCCCCCCCAAGCAAAGACAAATGGGTTTTAGAATCACGGTAGTTCTAACAGATGTGGAAGAAGGAAGAAAGCAAGCAAAAGCATTGCTAGTGTGCTTGTCCCATTTTAAGCTCAAGATTAATGGTGCTTCTTGAAACCGTATTTGAAAAGTAGTGAATGCCTCGGGCCTTGCCTGTTTCATACTCTTGAACTTTAAGTGTTCAGGTGCTCTTCTCTTCTTTTTTATTGTGTAAAACAAAACCGTTGAATAAGGTGTATGTAGAAATGTAGAAAGTGTCCACATGCATTATGCTCATATTTAAACAGTTTATTACTGGCTGTTTTTGGATTGTGCCAGGAATCCTGCTTTTACAGTTCACTGGCTAGTAAGTATTATGTTTAGGGAACTCCTAACACAATCAGAGTCAGAGTGCACTGATGCATAGTTTGATGGAAATGCCTGCTCACCCTCCTGGTTTATTCATAAGGGGAAACAATGATCAGGTGCAAATAAGCTGTAGCCAGAAAGAATGAGTCTCTGTCTCACTAATGTCTTTACAGATATCAAGAGACAATAAATAGGTCCTTGCACATTCAAAGTTCTGGACCAGTATACATCTGACCAAGTAAAAAGCAGTCCAGTTACACGTGTCATCACCTTCCTAACCTTATCTTAGTGCAAAGGACAGAGAGGCTGAACAGCCAGCTCTGCTTGCCTTCAGGGTTAATATCTCTGGCTGAGAGAAGAACATAAGCCAACAAAATTCAAGTAGACAACCAGGTCTTTCACTCTTTGTAGGTGAGAAGTTAACATTGTTGCTTGAACTGGCTTGACTATGATAGACTTTAAACTTGACAACAGAGGGCAGGTGAAAGACTGGCCATAGGAAGGAAGCCAGATGTACAGCTTAATCATTCCAGTTTTCTTGGTCTGGAGGGAGAAGGGGAAGGTAGCAGGTAGCTGGAGAACCAACAGCATTCAAACTGACCTGGTTTGCTTTTTTCCCTTCATCTTAGAATGTCTGGAGCAAGAATTGTTGTTCACATGACCCATGCCCTGAAGCAAGGAGAGTATGGCCTAGCTGGAATTTGCAATGGAGGCGGTGGTGCATCTGCAATTCTGATTCAAAAGTTGTAGGCGCTTTAAAAGGTGTAAACTTGAATGGCTGTTACAGATATTTATGGAATTGCCACCTGGATCTTAAAACTCAGTTCATCATTGTTTTTCAAAGAAAATTTCATAATGTTTTTTACTATAGCATGCTTCAAAGCAAATGTGGTTTTATACCATGGAATTACAAAACATGTTGGACTTCTAATCAAGACAATAAAGATAGTATACAATCATGATTTACTAGTAGATATGTTAAAATAATTCCACACAAACCACAGGATCTGCACATTCTTCATTCTGGTCATAACATTTTAGTATTTTCATGATGTAGACAAAGCTGCCTGCTGTGTTCTCAAGTCAGGAAAAAAATGGTGGTATATGGTCTCCATTTGCAGCAGAAAAAAGATACACAGCAACTATAGTGAGTTCGGGTTTTTTTGCTAGATATGTACAGATGTGGCATACTATACTGTGGCCACTGCATTAGCTGGGAGAGAAGACCAGAGAATTCTGCCTACAGCTTGCATATGTACAAGTTGACTTTTTTGATTGCTATAGGCATTTAATTAAAGGACACTGTAATATCTAGTTGCGCCCTTAGTAATAATGAGTAATCTGCAAGCTATCTTTTGTTCTTTCAGAACCAGTCTCTTGAGAGATCCCAAACCTAAGACAGTCAGGTAATTCTTCAAGCTCCTAGCTGGACGTGCATATTTCACCAGTGGTAATTTGCCATTAGACAACTGGATCATTAACATACATTTGACAGAAGGCACATGCTGTATCAGTGTGACCCAGGCCCCAGAAATCCTCTACATATTTACCCACTCCTTTTCCAAAGCATTACAGACTGGGCAATATATAGTTTGTTTTGAAGATTAGGACATTTTGTCTCGAGTCTTACAGGACCAGAGTTTCTCTCAATGACAGGTTTTGAGTTAACTTTAACAACCTCCCAGGTTCCCTAGGAAGGTAACCCATCCAGCCCAACTATGTTTCAAGAGTTTAAGTACAGGAATTGAGTTATGAGCCTGTTCTAGTCTCCCCCCCCCCCAACCCGGCCCATTTTT